CGAGAGCCTCCTGTAAAAAAATTTTGGAAAAAAAAAAAAAAATCTGGGAAAGAGAGAACAAGGATGATGACAATGGAGGGGACGATGGATAAGGGGGTGTTGGACGATATCATACAGCGGCTGCTGGACGGCAAGGGAGGGAAACAGGTGCAGCTTTCGGAGGCGGAGATCCGCCAGTTGTGCGTCAACGCACGGCAGATCTTCCTCTCTCAGCCGAATCTCCTCCAGCTCCGTGCCCCTGTTAGGATCTGCGGTTCGGTTTCTTATTTTACCTTCTTTTTCTTTGTTTTCATTTTTATGTGATCGATTCGTGCTTTGTTCTGTATTTGTTTTGTTTGGGAGTTTGGGGATGATTGTTGTTGCCCAATGTGTTTGGTATGTGAGATATCGAATTGATTGGATTCGTGGGGAAGATGATTAGAGGATAAACTTTTTGAATGAGATTTTGAGCATGAAAGTCAATTGCATAATAATAGATATGTTTGTTTTCATTTCTGGATAAGTTGCTACCCGAATGAATGCGCTTGATTCTTGAAAAGTTTGAATCTTGATGACTTTTTGGAAAATAAAGTATTCAAAAAACTTCTGTAGACGTGAATCTCGTGATCCCAAACAAGTATTTTCTAACATCATGCAAATTTGGATATTGTGGGATTTTTATTGGTACCATGCAAGCAGTTAAGATTATTATTATTATTATTATTATTATTATTATTATTATTATTATTATTATTATTATTATTATTATTATTATTATTATTATTATTATTTGATGATGTGCTACTTATATTATATATAAATTTTCTATAATAATTATATTATAATACTAATAAATAGATAATGAGGATCTTAACTCGTGTTTGGTTTCACGCACTTGATCATGTTGGATGATTGAGCATCTGTTGGAAAGGCTTATTTTCTTCTTTTTCATTTTTGGAAACATGGGTAGAATTTGGGATTATGATGTAGGAGGGTTATCTGCCAAATCGTAAGCTCCTATAAATGGGGCTGCTTGGCTGGGAAATGGGGCAAACGATGTTTGTGTTGTTGTTCATGTTTTTCTGCACCGCAAGAAAGTTGACAAGCTTGACCAATGTCGTTTATTGTGATCCATTATTGTAGTTTGAGAGGAATATTGGCAAGTTTATACAACTCTCAGTTGACAATTTGGTCATTGACAAAAGTGAGTAAAAAAGCAAAAATGTTGGTAGAAGAAAGTCTATTGTACTAGAATTCTTTGTGAGCGGCTGTTGGCTAGGGTGTACAACTTTGATCAATAGGATATTGCACTCAATATTATAAATTATGGCCGCCCTTCTCCATATGATTTTCACTAGATCTGCGCACTTTACATTTCACAGACGTTGACCCTTTTTTTGTATTATTTTTATTATTTTTCCTATTTGAATATATTTTACAGTATCATCTGCCATTTTTACATTTTTTGTACATATATAAATATACACTTCTTGTTGCTTTAATGCTTCTCCTGTTTTACAGTAGTCATTTGTGATTAACATTCTGTTTCAGGTGACATTCATGGGCAGTATCAAGACCTTTTGAGGCTCTTTGAGTATGGTGGGTACCCCCCTTCCGCAAATTACCTCTTTCTAGGCGATTATGTTGATAGAGGCAAACAGAGTCTGGAAACAATATGCTTACTTTTGGCTTACAAGATAAAGTATCCAGATAAAATTTTTCTTTTGAGGGGAAACCATGAAGATGCCAAAATTAACCGTATTTATGGATTTTATGATGAATGTAAGAGGAGATTCAATGTTCGACTCTGGAAGATATTCACGGACTGCTTTAATTGTTTGCCTGTATCTGCCCTCATTGATGAAAAGATACTCTGCATGCATGGGGGGCTTTCCCCTGAGCTAAAACATTTGGATCAGATAAAAGAACTGTCTAGACCCACTGAAATTCCAGATAGTGGTCTACTATGTGATTTGCTTTGGTCTGATCCTGATCCAAGGATAAGGGGTTGGTCTGATAGTGATAGAGGCGTTTCATGTGTTTTTGGGCCTGATGCAGTAGCCGAATTTCTGCAGAAAAATGACTTGGACCTCATTTGCCGGGGTCATCAGGTAAATTAGTATAATATTTATTTAACTTGGTCAGACCTTTTTTTTTTTTTCCTTTCTTCTTTTTGAAAATATCTGGCAAATGGAGAATATGTAATGCAAAGTCATGGTTTTTGTAATATCAGCATCCTCAAGTAAGCATGAATTCTTTTCTCTATATTGTCAAACTATGATGCAAGTCCATCTCCAACTCATAGATATCAGTTTTCAGACTTCACAATTTCAAATCATTTCTAGAAATGAAATTTGCCTACACTTCATTGGCTTGCTTGCTGCAGGTGGTGGAAGACGGGTACGAGTTTTTTGCCAAAAGGAGACTCGTAACACTGTTCTCAGCTCCAAATTATGGTGGGGAGTTTGACAATGCAGGTGCCCTTTTGAGTGTAGACGAATCACTTGTTTGTTCCTTTGAGATCCTAAAACCTACGGCAAGCACTTCAAAGGTTCCCCTAAAAAAGGTATATTTTGTAACGTGCATTGCATGCTCTCTCTCTCTCTCTCTCTCTCTCTCTCTCTCTCTCTCTCATGACTAACTATTCTTTGTTTTCTATTCTCGACTGACAGCCCCCCAAAATTGGATCCATGTAATTCAGCCAAAAGTGAACGTGTAAGTTTTATGCAGTGACTAGGTGTTAATGGAAAAGGCTACGTCCTCATTGCTTTTTTTCTTTCCGTATATGTCTGTATATAAACTGTTCTGCACTGGAGGTGTGCCAGAAAAGTTCAGAGCTTTGAAGACAGTTTATTACTATGGACTACCAACTTAAAAAGGAAGAAGGATTGTGTAAAGAACAAAGTTGTTGCACTCTTAACTCTTGTGGTAGGAAAATCGAAGCAGTGACTGTTTATTTGCTGGCTTGCTACACTTTGTTGCAAATGCTCGTACGATTCGATTTCTAGTACCTAATGTACATCCGTTCCTACCATCTGGGTTTTTTCTTTACTTTGTTTTGTAGCGAATTTGTAGCTGTATTCAAACCTTAGTTACTGAATTGAAGAATATTTACCTTTTTTTAGCTTTGGTGATGATAGCAAGTGTTGCCAACTGACATTATTTGTTTGAAATTTTAACATGACTTTACTCTCTTCTTTCTTGTTTGTATGACTTTTTCTCTGCAAATGAATATAATCTCTGCCTCATTTATTAAATTGGATAAGATGGGACATACGACCCAATCAAGGAATTATCCAATGTTTGCCAATAATGTGTGCAGTCCTCAGTATGTAGCACCAGGCCAGTGATTATATCCAAACAAAATATTCAATAAGAGCTCGTTTACTTTTGGGATAAGGATAAGTTCTATTTATCACCTCTTCTTGTTCACATTATCATATCCTTCGTTTACCTTTCTCTTCTGAGTGGGTTATATCAATATCTCCACACGTAAGTAAAACATTTACTTTTCTTGATTAAACACCAAAGTAGACGTGTCCAGAGGCCGGACTAGAGGGCCTCAAATGCAGGGCTTGAAACGGCCTGGCTATATCTAAGGGCCGATTCATTTGAATCGGCTCGAGCCTGCGGTTCATTGGACCATCGATTTTTTCTAATAAAAAACAACTATGACTCGCCTTTTGACTCGGAACCGACGGGTCAAAAAAGGAAAGTAATATTCGGAACCAGCCCGGTTTACCACGGGACTGGTTCCAAGACCCGTAGTCTGGGCTGGGTCGGCTTGCCGAGCAGGCCCTTGGACACGTCTATACCTAAGTGTTGAACCAAAAGGTCCAATTATCTCTGACATTGAGGCCCAAAAGACCTTACCATAATTGTGGTCTTCATTCTGCACACGGAAGGGCAAAATTTTCCAGATGAGGAGAACCCTAACTTTTACCACCATCGGACGCCTTCATTTGGGTTACACAAAGTGACAATCGCACCACAGAAAGCTGGATCATCCAAAGACCTCGGTCTGAGAATGTATTTTGGATTTATCAATCCGAAAAGTATTTTTCTTCTCTGTTACATTATTGTCATCTATGATTGGGATGGTAGTTATCTTTGTAACCTTATAAATTTCTTACAAAATCCAACTTATTTCGTGCAAAACGAGATTGCTTTTGTGACGAATGTCGCCTACGAAAATCCCCTTACCCCAATTTCAGAGAGGAAGTTGCACGTCGTTGATGCGGATGAGGCCCGCCAGTTGAAGAATACGTACAATCGGGCTCGTCGAGCTCGAATGAAGCTGCAGAAAAATAGCAGCTTTTTAGGGGTTAGCGCCGCTAAGGACCCTTAGCGGCGCTATCTTCGAACGGAGGGTTTACGTTGTATTGATTAGCGACCACTAATGACCCTTAGCGGCGCTAAGGTGCCGACTGAAGCAGTTATTTTTACAGTTTTTTTTTGCATTTTTAGAGGTTGTAAGGTATTTATTAGGGAGAACTGAACAATGTACGTTTTTTATCAAGTCTTTTATGAACTATCACTACCAAAGCTTGTTTCCAAGCATCAATTCACGTCAAAGTCGAGTTCTTTAACCAATTTTGATATAAAATTCGATACTCAATACACGATTCGTAACATTGGTGCTTTCATTGAGAGTTACTAATCGTGTATCATGGAAACTAATCGAGAGAGGATGGATCATATGGAGGAGAGCATGCAGGCTATGAGCGAAGAAATTCAATCCACGAATCAAACGATGGCAAGACTCGAGAGGATGATGCTCCAAGCCGTTGGACGACGGGCTAGGAGGGGTATCCATTCAGAATCATCTTCCGAAGGGTCAGCCAAATCTGAAGAGGGTCGCGAAAACTGGAACGAATTTCTGGAGGATGAAGATGTTCGTTCGAGGGGATCAAACCACCGTAGAAGGCAAAGGGTCGAAAACCCTAAGTTAATGCTTCCGACATTTAATGGTACGAATCCTGATTCATGGTTAAATCGTGCTTGTCAATACTTTGAAATTAATGAGATACCTAAGTCGGAAAGAGTGAAATATGCCGCTTATTATCTCGATGGAGAGGCGAATGTATGGTGGCAATGGCTATCGAGGGTTTACAAGAAGGAGGACAAACGAATTCGTTGGAAGAATTTCGAAAAGGAATTGATTATTCGATTCGGATTGTCGGATTATCATAACTATGATGAAGCTCTTTCACATATCAAGCAAACGGGAAGCTTACGAGAATACCAAAAGGAATTCGAAAGAATTGCAAGTCGAGTTCTTGATTGGCCGGAAGGAGCGCTTGTTGGTACATTCATTGGTGGATTGAAATCCGATTTGGCAGCGGAGATGAGGCTAGACAAACCAAGAACCATGCGTGCCGCCATGGAAGCCGCTAGGATGCGTGATGATCACTTGATGGCACTACGGAGGGCCAATCGACCGAAAGTGAGGCGACCGATGACTTTCCCTTCTAATGTTCAAAGAACGGGAGCCAATACATCAACCGGCAATGGAAAAGACCTTTCATCGGGAGTTAAGCGTTTGTCTTGGGAAGAGATGCAAAGACGGAGGGAGAAAGGCTTGTGCTTTAATTGTGACGAGAAATTCACACTCGGTCATCGGTGCAAAGAAAGGCGATCGTTCTTCATTGAATGCGTTGAGTCCGAAGAAGATGAAGTAGTGGGGGATGAATTGAAGAGTGTAATCGATCCTCATGAGGAGGACCCGGAGATATCGGTCCATGCAATGGCGGGAACTCAAGGACCCAAGACGATGAAGATGCCAACTTGGGTTCGTGATCGACGTGTAATTGTGCTAATCGATAATGGTTCATCTCATAATTTTATTAATTCATCATTGTCCGATAAGTTAAATTTACATGTCACAAAAGTTGAGCCGTTTGAAGTGAGGGTTGCTAATGGTGAGAGGTTGAAATGCTCGGAGTTTTACCAGGGTGGGCCGATAAAAATGCAAGGGATCACTTTAAAGGCCGACTTGTATGCACTACCTTTGGTAGGTCCGGACGTGGTTTTGGGGGTTCAATGGTTGGAAGGATTGGGTCCGGTTACTATGGACTATAGAGTGGGAACAATGGAATTTCGTTGGGCTGATGGAATGGTTAAATTATCAAACGGGGAAAGGAGGGAACGAAAGAGGTGAGTGCTCAAAGTTCGGAGAAATTGTGGAGGCAAGGTAGTCAAATTTTTGCCATTAGAGTCGATAAATTGGAGGGTGTTGATGAGGAACACTTTCAGCAAAAGGAGATTGACGAGTTGCTTCAACAATTCGAAGAAGTGAAAGTTGATCCGAAAAATCTACCACCACGAAGAGAGTTCGATCATCGCATTCCTTTGTTGGATGAAACCAAAGTCGTACATGTACATCCTTATAGGTATGCCCATTTTCAGAAAACCGAGATTGAGAAGCAAGTTCATGAAATGCTTGAGTCGGGATTAATCCGGCATAGTACGAGTCCTTTTTCTTCACCGGTATTTCTCGCCAAGAAAAAGGATGGGACGTGGAGGTTTTGTACGGATTACCGGGCTCTCAATGCGCTACCATAAAGGATCGTTTTCCAATTCCAAGCATTGATAACATGTTGGACGAGTTGGCGGCATCCCGTTATTTTTCCAAATTGGATTTGCGAGTGGGGTACCATCAGATACGGGTGGCAGAAGAGGACATTCACAAGACGGCATTCCGGACTCATCAAGGGCACTGTGAATATTTGGTAATGCCTTTCGGTTTATGTAATGCACCATCCACCTTTCAATTCACTATGAATTCAATATTTTAAGATTACTTGCGAAAATTAGTGTTGGTGTTCTTCGATGATATATTGGTGTATTCGAAGAAATGGGGATGAGCATGTGATGCATTTGAAAGTGGTCTTGATTATTTTGAAGGAGAACGATTTTCAGATAAAGCCTTCGAAGTGTTCTTTTGGCCAAGAATCGATGGAGTATTTGGGCCACATCATATCTTTTGAAGGAGTTAAAGTGGATTCCAAGAAAATTGAAGCGATGCTTGATTGTCCTAAACCGAAGAATTTGAGGGAACTACGGGGATTTTTGGGGCTGACTGGATATTATCGAAAAATTTGTCAAAGACTTTGGATCGATTGCTAAGCCATTGACGGAGATGACAAAAAAATGAGGGTTCAAATGGTCGGCTTGTAGTGAGGAGGCATTCGAAAAACTCAAGGGGGTTATGTCAACGACCCTGGTTTTGGCCATGCCTAACTTTGAGGTGATGTTTGAAGTGCATACGGATGTTAGTGCTGTGGGAATTGGAGCCGTCCTTACTCAAGAATATCGACCCATTGCTTATATGAGTAAAACCTTGGGGGGTGTACGAGTAGGATGGCCGGTCTACGTGAAAGAGTTGCTAGCTGTAGTAGAAGCGGTCCGGGTTTGGAGGCCTTATCTTTTGGGTCGACATTTTCGAATTGTGACGGACCAACAACCACTAAAACATTTGTTGAAGCAACGAATAGTGACTCCGGAGCAACAAAAATTTGTGTCAAAACTCATGGGTTCGACTTTGAGATTTGTTATAGGTCGGGTCGACAAAACGCAGTGGCGGATGCATTATCTCGTCGGACGGACGTGGCGGAACTACAAGCCATTTCGGGAACAACATGGGCTATATGGGATCAACTACGAGAGGCAAATGTTCAAGATGCCTTTTGTAATG